ACGGATACAATTGCTCATACTGATTGATAATGTATGCTAACAAGCAGTTGAAAAGATGTACCTCATGACATAGCTGGTGAGCGTGTATGTGCACTGATTGTTTCAGGGAAATCGGAGAGTTACGGAGCAGCAGAGCAGGCATGGATTCAGAGCCCTAGTTTAAGTACACATTAACAGGACAGATGCTTTGATGTGATAGAGCTCCTCTTACTCAGGCTTTGCTCCCAGCATGAATAAATCCTTTTGAACTTTGTTTTGTTTTCAGGGCCTCCACAGGCTGAGCTGCTAAGCAGACTGATAGAAAGCTGCCTGGATTCTCACTACAGACTGCTGGTGGTTCAGTAAGTATAAAGTTACGTTCTGTTTTCACTTGTAACTGCTGCGACAAAGAAGCTTCACGTAATAACGGACACATGGTTAGTAGTAAATGACTAACACTCCTGCTTTTTTCTGTTTTGTTTTTAAAGAATGACATTGAAGATTGCATGGAGTGAGGCAGTGCTGTCTATTATCCACAGCTTGCTAGACTCAAAGGTAATCCAGATGATTATTCATGGGAAAGAGCTGCAAGAGCTGTTAGTCATAATACTCACTGCCACTGAGCCACCTGTTTTGCCTGTTCCCCCCCAACAGCCTGTCTTGAATGAAGAACTTTTCACACAGTTCACAGAACAGCTCGTCAGTCAGGCTCCTCGTTTCACAAAGTCTGTGAAGTTTGCAAAAATGATGCTCACAGTACTCACCAAATACAGCACCGATGTAAGTATGCAGATTGCGATCACAGATAACGTCTGTACAGTGGATGCAATGGTGTGTGATAACCTCCTGCGTATAAATGATTGCATTTCCAGGTGACTGCTGCACACAAACACTCCTTGTCCAGCTGCCTGATGTTAAATGAGACCTTCCTGAAGAAGTCTCTACAAGCTGCTTTAAAACGAATCGCAGACACGTGACCTCACCACCTTTTCACCGAATTTACATTTAAAAAAAACCTGTATAAATAAATTAAACTGACAATGAAGAATCTTAATTCACCAGTCTGACAGGGCTGATATTATTTTTTATTACGCTGACTGTTCACAGGTCTTACAATAACGATTCCTGAATGCTCCTGAACACAACACACCCATATATCTAACTCAATCTAGTATTAGGACGAAGTTGATACTGAATTACTGTAACCTGCAGACTTTTATTGGTCAGTCTTTACAAATAGTTGCATTTTTTTTTTTTTTGCAATATCTCATGAAAGCTTTGAAAAGGCAAACAATTATTTAGCAAACATTATTATTACTTATATGGTATTTATTTTTATAATTATTATAAATTATAACGGACTCCATTGAGTAGGCTTATACATCGGATGAGGATGCCTCACCAATTGGATGGTTTCCAGGCATACTCAACTAGAAGGAGACCCTGGGGTAGACCTCAGATTTGTTGCATGTATTTCTTGTCTTCAGACCTGGGAATGCCTCAGAATCCCCAGGTGGAAGTGGAAAGTGTTGTTGGGAAGAAGGGCCCTGCATAACCTGCTGCCACCACAGCCTGAATTTGGATAAGCAGAAGCTAGGCTGAATGGATGGGTGGATTAGATCATAATGTCAATTAATTGTATTCATTTTCAAAGCCTCAGGGTTTGTTTTTTTTGCAACTTTTTATTTTGAATTTTCATTGTGACAAGAATATAACAAAAACAACAATAAAAGACAAAAATAAAAGGGGAACAAATTGGGGCACTGTTCCAAGCATCATCCAGAATCTTCAAGCCTTTGCTTATATTTATGCCGTTTAGTCCAAGTTGTTGAAAAAGATGACCTTTAAGT